ATATATATATATATTTTAAGGCTGACAATCCACTCCCAACTTATCGTGGATTGTCTGGCGAGTCACTTCCGGTACAGACCGCCATTTTGGATTGTTTCTTATCTGTCTTCCTCGTGGTCCTGGTCCGGTGTCTCCCTGGTTCTTCTACCCGCCGCGGCATCCGCGCAGATCGTTCTCAGCTCCAAATACCGGGTTCAACCGTAAGTCAGGCCCCGCCGTAAAGCAACAGCCGCAAAATTGCTACCTTTCTCCACGGGGCTCCGTTCGTTTATACCGAGCGTTCGGTTTTCTGTCATGTATTGCAACCGATCAAAAACCGTTCGGCTAATTCTAATACACATATGCGTCGCATGTTTCACTTCGTTTCTTTTCGAACGCGGCCGTTCGGGAAATTTACTGTATATATCTTTTCGGTATTCGAACGATACAGTGTATACACTCATTCGCCTGTTTCAGCTGTTCATACATTCTATCCTTTCGGTAAATTACGGCGAAACGCCGAAATAGGAACAAATTTTCACCTAATTTAGGATACTTCCTCCCCCCTGCTGGTTACATATGATGCTACAGTCATAAATAATTCCACTTAGGGGTAATACATAGTGAATGTATCTGAATGTTAAAACTTATATACTTACGAACACAAAACCCGTCATCTGCCTCTGTCATATTCTCCCTGCTCGCCAATAGTATCTGGTAGGTTCCTTTATTTAATTCGGGCCCACGATATGGCTCACTTCAATATACCCATACACACAGATACTCATGCACGTCCTATCCAGGGTCGCAGCACGTCATCTACTGCCACCCTCTCGTTCATATCTTTCAGCTTAGCATCAGCCTGGCTCAAACTTTATCAGGTACGATGTCATAACCCTGTACATTTTCTAGGTTTTGAGTGGTACTGGCTTACTGAGATTTAGGTTGTCCAACTAGGTTTCTGTTTCTGGTCTTAATCCATAAGCTAGTGGTCCCGCGAGGCCAACACCCATCCTCATACTCTGAGGTATACGTCCCTCGGGCCAAATCATAGTTAGCCGCATCGCATGGTTCATTAGAGAGGGCCTCCCATGTCACTCCCCTTCTATCTTATGCTTTAGTTATCACCGAGAGGCCGACACCCCGCCACAACGTTTCGGTGGCCTCATATTTCCCCTCGGGCCAACGCATAGGTAGCGCCTCTTATGCTGCTTGGCAATTAGTAGGGACTCCTCTGTCACGTTCTCAACAGCATAATTATTCGCCGCTTGGCATCTAGCTAGCCTACCAATACCCAGCCACTTTGTCTCAGAATAGAAATGTTTGCTGTGGTATCTATTTTGGGTTCACTTCTTTTTGCCACCTTAACCTAAAATTACTCTGTTCCCTACTAAAACAATGGTGTCCTGGGTAATATTTCATCACCTTCTCGTAACAACCAAGCCAACCAACCAACCATTATTAGAACTTCACGGCTCCATCCCTATGACATCTATATTCATGCTTTAAGTTCGCTTACTATTAACTAGGCTCTGCCTAAATGCAAACCTTTTCCCAGGACACTCCTTCCGTATAAATGCAGCATCTGCAGCTTCCTCCAACCACATTCCAACTCATATCATCAAGGCTATGGGACACTGGAAACCCTCCGCCTATACTCTTTACATTCCAAACCCAGTTAAAGAGTTAACACAAGCTTTTCGTGACTTGTCCAAATAAACAATGTTTTGTTATGTGTATAAAATCCTGATGAAAGTCTGTGTATAACAGACTGAAATGTTGATTCCTTTTTTAAAGCTTATTAAAAGCTAAGTTTTATTTTATCTACAAGTCCTGAGAGTGCTATCTGGATTATATATATAATCTTCTGCGCTCCTACCTCCAGCCAAGATGATACTGGGTGCCCAGCCACACTGTGATATAAAAGTAGATAAATACCGGCACTCCTGGATTTGTAGAGCACAACGATTTATTGTCACAAGTCAGTCAACGTTTCAGTTCCTAGCTAGGAACTTTCATCAGGACATACCTTCAACATATATATATATATGCAAACGGACGGCACAGCACATTTGTTAAAGGTACAGGGGCGGCACACTGCCCCCCATACACACTCATATTCACACATACACTGCCACCATACACACACACTGCCTCCCTCACACATACAATTGTTTTTTTTTTTCTGTCTGACGCCAGTACGCAAAATGTCTCCTTTTTTGCAGAACACTGCTGTGGACAGTTTATGTCTACACTGTACAGTTTATAAACTCATTAAAGTGTTGGTTTTTTTTGGTGGGGAGGTGTGGGGGGAGTAGAGCCTATATGCAGTGACACGTATTGCCCGTGCGGTCACATTTCATTTCTAAACCTTACTTGTAACAAAGAGATGAAGGGGGAGACTTTTTGATTTCTAGCGGTCTATACATCATTTAATTTTAATGATATTGAATTCAGACCGCACCTATGCTAGTATTGGGTTCACACTCATTCCTTTTGTATTTCTAGCCATGTAATATTATCTCTCCAAGCAAACCAGCCAAACCAGAAATGCTGCATGTGACTGCTGAAACTACTCCCTATTACCTAGTTCCTGAAGACATATTTGACATTGGTCCTTTAAGATGAGCTGCATCAGGTTTCTGTGTATCCTTTAAGAGACAGGCACATCAGGGTTGTATTGGATAGCAGAATGTAGACCAAATTGTTTTCCTACGAATACGTGCTGCCCAGTCACTAGTGCTATAAGTGGGGGGACCTGGCACAGGTTATATCCTGCCAAATGACTGTTTAGGCAACATGTCCCTACTACACGGGGGAGGACCTGGCACTGGTAGGGGCATGTCGCCTAAACAGTCATTTAAAACTGGATCTAAATAGATCAGTATCTTATAGAATTGTTAGAGAGTTACGATAAGAGTACATGTAACCAAAAGTTATAGTAAAAACTATACCAATGTTGCAATATGAAAAAGTAGCTATTTAAATCTAAATAGCTCATTTTTACAGTGCTCTCACCGTAGCTCTAACACTATATAAGATACATTTATATGCACTTTTAAATGACACCGAGCAGCCAGTGGTTGCTTGCTGTCATAAAACTAAATATTAATCAGTATGGGGGTCACTCTGATCACCATATTGATAACAGGGAGGTTAAATCCTCCCGCATGCCCCTACTCGCGGCATGTCGCCTAAACAAATTTAAAAGTACTTTTGACTGGGCAACTATTGCTGCCCAGTCACTAGTGCAATAAGGGGAGACCTGACACAGGTCCCTCCATTCCAGGGAACAAAAAAAAACAAGCACCTGACATAGTGCCCCCCCCCCACACTCCCACCCGTGACCAGTGGTTGGGGGCTATTAATATAAATGGGGGACCTAATGTTATATAGGGACATTCTCTATGCACTAAACTAATAAGAGAATATTGCTATATTACTTCCAGCAATCTCTATATGGCGAATGTTTATTTGCTGAATCTATACAACTACTAAGAATCTATGACTGCCTTTCCAGGCACTGTTTGCTGCAACTTTATTATTGTTTTAAAATATCTGTTTCGTTTTAGTAAATACCAAATGTATCTTAACATTGCAAATCAATGACTGTGCACTGATTTGGGAAAGACAATTCTTTTAATATTTAGATGTAGTATACTATCATGTGCAACATACTGTGATTTTGAAATCACTAAACTTAATGTATGAATGACGTGATATTGTGATATAATTTGAAAATCAATAAGTATTGAAAATTAAAACAACTTTAAAAAGGGAGGCCGAGGGAGTAAGAGATACACAGGGGAAGGGAAGAAGAGGCACCCAGAGGGGTTGGGGAAGGGGGAAAAGAGACAGTGGTTGGAGGGGGCAACACAAAGTGCTGTGGGGCAGAGACACATAGAGGGGTGTGGAAGAAAGAGACACAGAGATGAGCTGGGGGAAGAGCACACAGATAGACTCAGGGTGGAAAACACACAGAGGGTCTGAGGAAGGGGAAAAAGACACACAAGGCCTGGGGGAGAAAGAGATAAGGTGCTGGGGGAAAGTGACACTAGTATCCCCATCTGACACAAATCGGTGGGGGCTGGGGAATGGACAGTGATCTGTCCTCACTCAATGTCTATGTGTTATGTTACCTGTAATTTTAAAGGCCCCATAGCACGGGATTGAGATCTTTCTACTGAATTGGTAGCAGCTCAGTCCCTAGTTTTAAACATTTATGAGCTATGCCCTCACTGCCAGAAGGCAGTTGCGGGAATAGGGATGTTTAAAAACTCGCTTATAGTTATATGTGGATCTTATTTACTCCAAAATGTTTTTTTATTTTTTTTTTAAATGTTTTTAAATTCATTTTAAATTAAAACTTTTTAAATGTGGCAGCAGACTACTAAGTGATTTTGAAAAAGCTTTTCAAATGACTTGAGATAAACATAACATTTTTTTAAATCTTTAAAATAAAATTAATAAATCTATAAAAATATTTAAATATTTTTCAAATTATGAAATCATTTTTAAAAGTTTGTCCAAAAACACTAAATCATCTGAATAGCTTATCAAAACAAATTTAATGGAGGCCTTCGTTCTTCTGGTTTGTTTTTGGAGGACAGGGCCCATATAGTTGGTTCCATTTAATAAAATGTAATAAAGGAGCACCTTACCACAAATATAATATTTTGGCCAAAAAGAGGGATTAGCACCCAAAGACTCCTTACACCATAACCACTGCAATACAATATTGGTTATGGGTGCTTAGAGTGTTTCTACCATCTATTTGTTTTATTATACATTTTACTGCTATGTATCTATCTATCAATTGCTAATAATTTTAGTAATGAATATATGGCTAGTGGAGCTTTTCCATTTGACCTATAACCAACTATCAATTATTATAAAATACTACATTGTAACTTTAGAATATGTCATGTTATAAAACATTTAACCATCTCTGTGATACAAGAGCTTTGTTACTTGTACCTGTTTGTCATATTTGAAGCAGTGAAGCAGTTAACAGTCCTAGCCCTCCCTCTAGTGACATAGGCCATCCCACTCCTGTTATGAAAGCAAGCAAATAAACCCCCATTTGTTCCTGAAAAGCAGCATGTCCTCATACAGTTACAAAACCAGTGCTTATCTAACCAGCAAACACACACAATGAGTGTACCCGCCCTAGCTACTTTATAAAGAGTCAGCGAGAGCCTTGACAATTACCAGCACATCTCCCTGGAAAGGTAGGCATTAAATACTGTATTGTGCACATCCAAGAGCAGTGACAGAGGCAGTCAGAGTGATCTATGAATGTCTCGTTTTACAGTTTGTCAAAGGCATCCTTCCTTAGACTATGAGAAAGCGTTCATTGTAATAAGCGGGTAGTGCTGTCCATGGGACTATTTAGCCTCAATTTTACAATGTTAATCACTAAATTGTTAATTGATCAAAAAAATTATACTTTTACGTAAAAACCCCCCAAAAAGAGCAGAATTGGAAATGTTCGCTAATTCAAATTTTTTTTTCTGCTCAGCTTGTTTTATCTAACATTCCCATGCCAGCTCCTGACAATTGGTTGGTTAGTAAGTATCTCTGACTGGGGTTTATTTTCTGAATGGTGGGCCGAAAACTGAACTGCACATTTTTTGCTCACAACAGCAAAATTTACGGAAACAAATACAGCAGTAATACTAATTACTCTGAAGTGATGGTGTGCGCATTGTCATGTGTTTATATTTTGGGGTTTACTCACTTTACACTGAGTTTTAGTGAATTGGAAAACAAATTGCACAATTAAGGCAAAAATAGCCAAGCTTTAACTATAGATGAATTGGAAAAAATGTCAGAATCAGCTATTTTTGTTTAAAATTTGCAGATCACTTTACAACTCAATGCAATTTAGTATTTGCAAATACATTTATTTTATTGTCTTGTTTAGCAAATTACTTGCTTTCTCCACCCCCCTCCCCACCACCCCCCACCTCCCCTAAAGTTCCTTGGATAATGATGCTATTTAAGCCATGTAAGAAGGACTTTAAGAACACTCTCTCTCAGTATAAATATATGTATATATATTATACACTGTTTAAGAACATTCTCCTCAAATTTCTTATTCTTACATTGCTTAAACAGCACCATTATCCTAGGAACTGCAGGGAAAAAAGCAAGTAATTTACTAAACAAGACAACAAATGTATTTCCAAAATGCTACAATTGTATTACAATGTAAAGTGAAGGAAAAAGAAATATATGGTCAATACTATCCACAGACTTCAGGTGGAAGGGGCTTTCAATCACAATATTTCCCCACAATAACTTTCTTGGTTTTTGATATCTATTTTATATATATATATATATATGTATATATATATATATATACAGGGCCGCCATCAGGGGGTGACAACCATGACGGATGTCACGGGCCTGGCGGTTCTGGGGGGCCCAAACTGCTCTGGCAGTCCTAATATCGCTAACAATGGGTGCAGCCGCGGGCCCCCGGCTCCCTGTTACCACAGAGGGGGCCCAGCACACTGCCTGTCCTCCTTTCTTCTAATAACTCTCGTAAGACATGCGGCCTTCTGAGCGTTGTCATGGCACAGGCCGCGGGTCTCGCAAGAGTTATTAGAAGAGAGAAGAGAGGAGAACAGGCAGTGTGCTGGGCCCCCTCTGTGGTAACAGGGAGCCGGTGGGCCCAACATGCCTATATCTATTGTACAGCGCTATGGAGTTTGCTGAGAGGGAGGATATTATATACTGATTCTACCAGAAGTTTTTTGTTTAAAACAATTTTTCTACTAATGTATTTTCTTCTGATATATTTAAATATAGACATAGTGTAATCGTTAAAATTCAGTATGAACTGAGTGTGGCTGAGATGTTATTCCTGCCCAGATAATTATATAGTAAGGAACTGACAATTGACACAGGAATTCAAAATTTTAGGCCATCATAGCAAAGTTGGAAAAATTGTACAAGTTACCAATTTTTCCACTTGTCAACTATGACTTCAAATTTGCAATTCCCTGCTCAGTCTAAAACGTTATTTGTTTAATGAATAAATCTCATTGTATTCTTTTGGCATTGGTTACATTAAGGCATTAAATGAATACTCCAGCAGATGTCTGCTATTCTCAGCTTCTTACAGACTACCACAAACAGAATCTGCCTACCCACTACCCCCCTCCCCCCCCCCAAAACTCTATCTTTTAAAGATATATCTTTAAATGACGGTTTCACTTATTGAATAAAAGAAGAGCTGTATAGGGCCAGCCAGTATATAAAGCGCCAACAAGTTCCGTAGCGCTGTACAATGGGTGGACTAACAGATTCGTATTTGTAACCAGACAAGGACACATAGGAACAGTGGGATCGAGAGCTGTGCTCAATGAGCTTACATGCTAGAGGGCGTGGGGTATAGTGACATAAATGGTAAGGGGGTAGAAAAGTAGGCTGCTAGGATAGTAGATATATAAAATTATGACATTTTACATTGGTTTTTTTTTTTTGTAGTCTCTAAAATGTTCAAAACTGTGAAGCAAGCTATATTCTCTTCAGGACTTCAGTCACCAAAATGCACTTCAGTGGTAAATGAGGTAGGTTTCCTACATTATATTTCCATTTTGAATGTATTGAATTTTGCAAGGGAGCAGTGATGGACAAATCTGTGCCACTATACGCACATATCTGTTTAGTCGTTTAAAATGACCACTATGGAGTGCAGTCCAGAACACTCCATCCGTGAGCAGGAATAAATGCAAAGGGGAAAGTATGGCATTAGGGCAGTGCAGGCTGTACTATGAAAGGGGTTCAGGCCACGTTCGTGGTTGTGCTTATGGTACACTCACACTACATGATCTGGTCATGAAAATATGAATATCACCCTAAACATAAACAGAATGCATTGTGGTAAGCAGCTCTAAGAAAGCCATTTAGGAGTGAACACAGCCTGCATCCAACAGCACAGTGTCACCCGCCCACCCTGTGCCAACAATGTACAAGGATGGCTAAAACAAAGCTGGATTTAAATATTTATTAAAGTGTGCATCGGTCTGTCTATCTGGCTCTATGAGTTTGGATATCTGGTTATTAGTATGTGTGCATATATGTGAGTCTGGGAGCTAGTGTTAGAGGGTTAAGTTTGTTTTATTTAGGGGCCACAGGGCTGTTGGTGTCCCGATCAGAGATCAGCCAGTATCGTACCCTTTTTTAATTCTGTTGTTGTTCAAAGCAGTACTATGTCTCTATAAATGCATGTAAAAAAACATTAATGCTGGCAGTATGTTTGAAAAGAGAGGGCATATTTAAAGGACTACTGTAGGCACCCAGACCACTTCAGCTTAATAAAGTGGTCTGGGTGCCAGGTCCAGCTAGGGTTAACCCTTTTTTCTTTATAAACATAGCAGTTTCAAAGAAACTGCTATGTTTATAATAGGGTTAATCCAGCCTCTAGTGGCTGTCTCATTGAGAAAGGTAAGATTTTAACCCCTTCCTCTCCCCAGAGCCCGGCGGGAGGGGGACCCTGAAGGTGGGGGCACCCTCAGGGCACTATAATGCCAGGAAAACGAGTGTTTTCCTGGCACTATAGTGGTCCTTTAAGCCTTACCTTCATAAGCACTGTTAATCTTTGACTAAATGTACATAGTTTAAATAAAAAGGTCATTTCAAATGAACTTTGATACGCATCATAACCTTGAATTATAGTCCTAACCTCAGAAAAAGTCTCGTTTTTAAACTGAAGCATGAGTGCAAAAGCTGATTTCAGAAATGTTTTCCTTTTAGCCACTGAATATCAAGAAATAACACAAACGTTGTGACCCGCAGAGCCAATTAACAGACTTGTTTGCAAAATATGACCACTGCATCAAACATACAAAATATCACATTTAATGTAAAACAGTATTTATTTAACTTTAGGGACACTGTTTTACATTTAGAAATCCTTTTTATACACGTATATTTTTAATTTGTATGAGGGGCAAATAAGGCCGTATAGGGAGTGTACAAAGAGTAGCATAGTATAGGAAGAGAAAAGTCGGTTGAGGTGTGCCGGAACCGATGATGCGGTAGGCCTGTAATAAAAGAGGGCAAAAATAGATACATGCCAGAACGTAGAACAATCAACAACTGATATGAAAGAACTTAATTGCATAGTCAATTGGTAAATGCCTGTTGAAGATCTTGTACGGAATGTGGTATGTATGGGGAATATGCTGAGAACTTCCATTGACCTAGAGATAAAATATACCGGCCAATATGAACTAGTTTGAAGCCGTGGATGCCACCCTATCCTAGAGGGGGTGACCAGAATAGTTGGACGGATTGAAACTAGCCTCAAGATCAATGAACTATAGGATAGCATGTATTTCGTAGTTGTGACGACTGGTCCCTGTAGTGATATCTGTGGTTGTGAGGCTTGGTTACAAAGGGAGAGTAAATAGGTACCCGGAACTTTAACCAGCACTCTTAATTATGCAAGGGGAAGTAAGGTATTTTAACATGTTGACCATCTTGGGTAGACTTGGTGTGGGGTAGAGAAAGTCAATAATAGTCTCCTTGTTGGAATAGGTGAGGCTTCCTGAGACAATGCTGCAAGCTGGACGTGGTAGATGTGGTAAATATGGGGGGCCTAAGGAACCGTTACACCAGCTATATAGCGGTTTTAACTACTAGGTTGGTGCCTGGTTCATAAGGAGTGATTGTGATAGTGATTGAAATAATTGGATGCTGATGGGAAATCTGTAAGATTTTAATTTGTCAGAGAACCTGAACGCCTTGAGTATGGTAATAATCTGGTATGAGGACATGAAGCTACGTATGATTTGTAAACCTATACAACATGTGAAGTTGTAAACCGGATATGTATAGTTGATGGTATTAAGGGATAATGCAAGTTAGAAGTGGCAAAAGAAGCAAAAAACATTCGGAGACAACACAGCAAAAAGAGACAGTAACATTATACATGAAAAGGAGCCTCCAAAGGAGAAGGCGGCCCTAACACATATGTACCGCAAGCGTTAGTAGAAAGAGCCAGACATAAAAGATGATGACTAGGAGTGAACGAGGCAGCGGCTACGGTAGAGACCATAGGCTGAGCCATGTGCAATGCCCGGTGGAGCCAAAGGAGAGATCGTATGAGATGGTGCAGGAAGTACGGCTGGGACTTAGCCAGAGCGGCTGAACCCAATTACTCAAACTACTAACTGAAACCGCCCCATAGACGACAGTAGCGAAAACAAACGGGGGGGAACATCGGAGAAGTAAGAACGACTTGGGCCTCCTCCAGCAACAGCGTTATCCGTGGAGACAGACAGTGACACGGACAGTTCAGATGTCTGAAAGGCTGCCCAGGGAAGGAATAAGTAGACTCCTAAGAACCGCAGCGAAGCGAGGAAGAGACCAGGATTTGAAAATGAGGTAGGAGTAGCCGAATCTTACAGATTGACGGGTACCAGGCCTAGCCGGAGAGCAGGGCAGGAGAAGTATTATGCCACTGCCTGGTAGCGCAGACATGCTAGAAAAAGGAAGAGCTTAAACAGCGCATATATGACCAGTTGTGTGCTGGCAAACTAGCTAATGCCAAAAAGGCGAATTAAAACTAGATTTGGTGACAGGTGAGGCCCTGCTAGATGCCAAGTGGCGTGAGAGTCACTATCTAAGTGTGAGGGGGTAACGTGGCCACTAAATGTTGTGGCGGGGTGTTGGCCTCTCGGTGACAGTTAAATATAAGATTTAAGAATGGGAGTGACAGGTGAGGCCCTCTCTATGCCACATGCTAGGCAACTAACTATGATTTGGCCCGAGGGGCATAGTACCTCCGAGTATTAGGATGGGTGTTGGCCTCACGGGACCACTTACCTAAGGCGAAGAAGCCAGGGGGAAATTGCAACTAGTGGACACCTAGGACCCTGACAGCCAGCCACAACTAAATAACAGGGGAGGGTAGCGAGTGAGAGAGAGGACGTACCTGAGGAACGTGGAACGAAACGTTGGGGTGATGCAGGAAAATAATGTTGCCCGAAAAACCTTGGAAGAAAATGGTACGTAAACGGTTTGAGCAATGTACCCATCCAAATATAAAATAGCTTGTGATGTGAAAAATGCAAACTGCATATAAAAACAAATCAGAAACCGGCTGTATGCATTCTCAGCAATCCGACCGCATAGGTCTACAGAGATATCACTACACAGTGTAATTTGAAAACCCACTATACTGGGTTGATTGCCAGAATCCGAGCGGTTATAGCTTAACACTTAGATGTTGTTTCAGTTTTTTTTGTTTTGTTTTTTGTCCCCTACTGGGGATCATATCGCTTTAACCCTAAAAGTGAGCTCCCATCGAACTTGCAATGGAGAAACACTAATACCAGTGCCAGGGTAAACAAAATAAAGTGTAATTAGAATGAGAAGCCGTAGTAACAGCTGCTGGCAGAACATTGGTGTATTGTGGTATATTCCCTGAATCAGGAATCCACGTTAGCTATCTCGAACCTAAAATGGCAACGTTTTGTTAATTCACCAGAGTTAACTATTTAGTGAATTACTCCCCATTTACTTATTTATGTGAGGCCGAAGCAAGGTAACATTTGTGGTCACATTGTGACTGCGTCCGCCTTCTACTACGACCGTGACCTTGTAGGCACTAATTGCTTATACCTAGCAGTGTCCAACAGTGACTTTTATGTGGCGTCTAAGCTAGATTACAGAGAACTGAGAAAAGGCTCCTGTTTTTGTTTTTTGTTTTTTATTTTATTTTTTATTTGAGGCATTCATAACAAAAATACAGGTATCACACAAATGCACAGTTTGTTTTCTGTGAGGTAAGTGTTGCAAAAAACTTGGGAACAGTAGTTTCCGAGGAAGCCACAATAATGGTACTGCTTATTGCTCAACTGTTACCTGGTTAAACCACCTTTTGCTAGTCTAGAGTGAAGAGAACAGGTGTACCGGTATAAGAGATTATTCGGCCTTGGTGAATATTTAAAACTTGTCAACCCTGGAGCCACACAAGTTTGGTGTTTTGTATGAGGCTAGGACTAGTGTTGCGTATGGACATGGTGTCAGTGGAAACAGGATTATTTACTAAACAGTGAATTGGAATTGAATTTGAAATTCAAGATAACTATATGAAACATTCTCTAAATTTGATTTCAGTTAGACTACTGTGGTCTTAAATGTGAAATTCCTTTTTAATCCTCTTTGAAGTCTCACTTTTAGTAAATTACCCTTTAAACCTTTCAACAGCTCTTTTCTCCATAGACCTAGCACACAATTGCACTGCCTGTGCTTAGGGAGGTTAGCAATTCCTTTGGGACCTGCTTCACATAGAACACAGAATCCCAAAACAACATAATTATCTTTCTAGTACACAGTTGTTGTTTTGGAGGAAAGTTCTAAAAACTCTCTTCCAAAACAACTGTGTGCTAGAAAGTGTCAGTTAGAATAAAAACTGTAATATTATTGTTTCATTCTTTTATAATTTGTAGGTGAAATGATGTACAAAATGTGAATTCAAAATGAAGTTCATATTTTAGGCCAAAATAAACAAACTGAAAACCTAGCTGATTATTTTTTCCTAAATTTTGAAATTCGTTTTATATTCTGGACAATTCACACTTTTCGGTTAGTAACTGTAAAATTATTTTTGTCAACTAAAAAAATTCTCTGATATCAGAAAGGGTGTTTTTATCTTGTCACACAGTTATCTATGTGGTTGCTATGCATGGCTTGTGTTACACATGTGTTTTATGTTAAAGGCTTCAGAATATGAAACTCGGGAGTACGAACCTTCAAAATGGGTGAGCACTGCAATAGGAACGCTGAAAGACTGGGACTCTGCCACCGGTTCTGGGTTCATGCGTCTCTTCAGTTATATCCAAGGAAACAATGAAAATAGTAAGTCCATTGTGCATCATATGTAGTTGAATGTATATCTTTGTTTTAATCAATGTGTATGAAATAGGCTTAATCATAAAAAAAAATGCATGGAACTTTTCACAGTTGTGAAAGTTCGTTGTCAAGGTGTTCTCAGCCCTTTTCTTAAAAAAATAAAAATAAATATAATTAATTTACTAATCTTATCTCTGGGCTACCTGGATGAAAATTGCTATTGGCAGTGACCATTTGGCAAATTCATTATTCCTGAGTTGCCCATATGAACTTGGTTTTCTGTGTTCTAACCTTATTGTTACGTCCCAAGTGTTCTTGGTCCAACTATAAGTCTGCAAAAAAAACCTTTTTTATTTAATGTTTGTTTCTGGAATATTTTACAAACATTGCTGTCTTTGGTATATATATATATATATATATATATATATATATATATATATGTGTGTATATATATATATATATATATATATATATATATATATATATATTTCTCTTTTAAAATGTTTTTATTTTGCATGTTTTCTTTTATTTTCCCACCAAAATACACACGCTTTTTGCATGAATTAAATACTGTAAAATTTCAAGTACATTAAAAACTAAATAGTTATTGTTTGTGATCTAAATTTTGCAACTCACTAACATTTCTTAAACAGGGGAGTTTTTCTAGATGAATTATACTTGTCATAGTATTGCAATTTACTTGTCACCCCAACAACTCACTCCTTCATATAAGCTAAATAAAATCTGATAGACTTCCTTCCTATTGATGTTTGCTTATTTGTTGCTTATATCTAGAGGAGAAGATTGATATGACAGTGCCTGTGACAACCTTTATTCAGCCAGGGGAAGGACCGGCATGTGAATCCAATCTCACAATTTCATTTTTTGTCCCGCTCGAGCACCAAGATAATCCACCAAAACCAACAGATGAGAGTGTCTTTATTGAAGAACGGCCACAAATGACTGTTTATGTCAGGTAAACACAAGACAGTGCATGCTTGTCCATAGGGGCACTTGATGCAGCACCCCACCAGTTTTTATGTGAGAAAAAATACCTGCCTGTCACTAGTAGTTTTAATAACTCCTACTGCACATTGCCTAGTGTAGGCTAAGCTGCCCTGTGCCCACCATCTTCTTTGGAGTAAACAGTGGCTCTGTAGCTGAGACTTGAGACAATCGTGCTGCACTAGTTAAAAAGTTGTAAAGTTCCACACTGTAGGACTGGGGCTGTGACTCTGAGGACTGAGCTGACTCTGAATTCAATTTGCAATGATTGTTGCTGCTATTAACCATCTTTATCAGCCCTATATTATCTCTGCAGGTTAATCATATTGCCAGATGCAAAAATAATTCTGGAGTCTCTCAGTATCCTGGTGCTTTAACCTTTTGTACACGGTGTGCTGAGTGAGTCAGGTTTGGCTGACATGTTTAACAGCAGCAACATTTACTAGTTGTCAAAACAAGAGCACTACCAAACATCAGATCAGAAAAGGAAGCGCTAGAGAGTCAGAGAGAGCTGAAGCATTATACAGAGACATTATACTGTGTGGTTATGTGTAATCCCCAACAGTCCCCCTAGTTATATAGGATAGTTATGGGTATCTCCTTATTTTGCCAGCTGTGTGTGTTGTGTATCTCTGTATTTTACTCAGCTCTGCCTGTTGTCTGTAGTCTACCCAGCAATGTGTATTTTATGGGTATTTTTGTGTTGTGCCCAGCTCTGTGTTTTGTATAGGTATCTCTATTGTACTGGGTTATTTGTGTTGTATCTGTATCTCTGTATTGTATCTGGCTCTGTACTTAGCTCTGTGTATTGTATAGATATATCTATGTTATAACTAGCGCTAAGTATTGTATGAGTAACTTAACATTGAATGGGTCTACCATTAGGGACCGAATACATGAGATTAAAGGAACACTATAGTGTCAGGAACACAAACACATATTCCTCAAACTATAATGGTGAAATAACTATTTTGGTCCCTGTCCGCCTCTCTTTAGAGTAAAAATGTGATTTTACTCACCTTTTTCACAAACTGCACTGGTCTCCCACTGCTAACCCGCCTCGTAGGAAAGCATTTGGAGGCTATTGCGCATGTGTGGCAGAAAAGGCAGTGTTTACACTAAAAATCCTGCAGAGGCATGCTAAAGACACCAGAACAATAAGCTGTAGTTATTCTGGTGACTATAGTGTCGCTTTAAGTGGACAGATTCCACAGATCCGAGGATGGTGGCTACAGAGTTAAAAGGTGGAGTAATATTCTGGGAGAGTAGTCTGGCATCCTGCCATCATAGCCACCACTGCACAAGACAGTGCTACAAGACTATTTATTAAATCCCATTTTCTTCTTTCATAACTAGTCTACACAAACTAGCTGTATAAGAGTAGTCAACTAGAGGAGATCATTTGTTCTTATTAAAGATTATTGCCTTGTTGTGGTGGCATGTAAGCTGGATAATTTACTTGTATGAGAGAATGCATTATTTTATTAGGTGATTTACTTCTGTTTTAGCAAATCCATAGTTGGTAACTGCAATGAAAACTACTGATCAAAATATCAGTTGTATACTTTAACCTCTTCAGGGGCATTGTTGAGTTACCCAGTACCCAGGGTTTGAGCTTAAAGTAAACATTTATAAACTCTGGCTCTTTGCACCTACCCTGGTCCCAATTTTGATTCTACTCCACTCCATTCCTTACCACCTATCTAGACTTATAGGGGCAGGCATATGCATGGAGAGAGATACATCTACATACAGATCATGCATAGATAGAGGCACACATTTGCACACCTATAATGCATGCATGTTCCTGTACAGACAGAAGCACAAGTGAATAAGCACAGTGCCAAATTGTCCTGCCCCTCTACTTCCTTTCCTAGTTTAGGGCCTTAATCAGGTGACACTCTCAGCCCATCACTAGATCCCTATTCAGAAAACCGAGATAAAAAAATATATCTGCCTTTTTCACTCAGTTTTCTGAAGGGGAAATGGTGATAGACTGAGAGCGTCAGCTGACGCTATCAGCAGCACCCAGTTCGAGGCTAGCTGATTAAAGCCTCAGACCAAGAAAGAAAGAAATGGGGCAGAGTGATCAGGTGCCATCTTCCATATTTTGGAACACTGTAGGCACAATAATCGTTTCATCTCATTTCAGTGTCCCTCCCAGCCCAAACATATCTCCTTCTTTTATTATCCCTCTCGATATTCATGTAGTAGTCCTCCACTGCATTTGTCCGCATCGGGCTAACCGGGCAAATGCGTGATGGCCAAGGCCGACCTGGGAGATCTTTTGTCTCACTTCCGACAGGGACCCCAGTGCTATAATCTCATGAGCTCCGGTTACTGAGACCATTGCTGCGGGTTACCATGGCAACAGTCTCAGTACTGCTGGAGCTCGTGTGAAGCAATGCGCTGAAAGCCAGAATGTCACCTTCCCTTAGCCAAAGGTAACAAAAGGAAAGGGGAGGGGGGGTGGGGGGAAATATTTCTCTTCTTTTTTATTTTTAATTGTTTGATTTTTTTATTTTAATTAATATTTTTTCCCTTGTGCAGTCTGAACCCCTTATGCCCCCTCACACACACAACAGCTCCATAAATATAAACTAAAGCCCCTATATACACAGTCACACACTTACAAAACACTCACAATCAAAGCACTCTGTAGCCCCCTACTCACACTACAGCCTATATTAATATACACACATTACATATACATACACATTATACATATCTAAGCACACTACAGCCCCTCGATGCACACACCCTCCAGACACACATTACATCCCATATAGAAACAAATACACTACACCTTCTAGACACACAAACATTCACTATAGTCCCTAAACACAAACTACACTGTACACACAAACAAAAGCCCTTTGTACATAAACAAACACATTACAGCCCCTGTACACACACACACACACACTACAGCCCCTCCATACACCCACACAATGACCCTATAGACAAACATGCACACTACACCCCCTAGAAACACTACACTCCATAGAAAAGTACACACACATGCTTTCTCGCTCTCTCTCTACAAAAGCTAGACAGACAGATGCACACACACACACAATCTCTACAGCCCCTAGATGCACACACTTTTCAGCAAGTGGAAATACATACACACTACAGTGCCTAGCCACCAATAGTACACTACACCGCAAACAGTCGCCTCTATACACACGCAATCCTCCAACTGGCCTCCAACTACATTCTGCACGAAAGAGAGCTTCCCCACACATACACAAAGTCCTTTACTGGCCATGCCCCACTTTTGTCCTCTGGTATTCCTCTTTTAGGAACACCAGAGAAAAGTCACCAGCAAACGCTGTGCTGTGTAAAACAAACACTCGGCATTGCTCCCATGTGTGAGCTTTTCATCAAACTAACCTACTCACTTTGAGGTGGTGTGTTTCACTGTTGATGACATGACACGCCCCTCTCACTCCCCTACTACTGGACTGCTCTTCCTTTAAATGCCCGGGCTGAATTTTTTTCCCAGTTTGTCAGTTCCCTGCAGTCCCTCTTCATTTTCAATCAATTATTAACTTCATTGCACCATTCTTAACCCATTAAGTTCCAAATTCTTAACCTTTTCATTGAATATATTAACAATAGGTGTGGAATATGTGGCGCTGGGTAATTAATGTGAACAGTATATTTTAGCTGCTGTTTACACTCTACGGGTACTCCTAAAAGCCCTCCATACAAAGATAAACACCAAAAGACGAAAAAGATTTCAGATCTAATGGGTGTTACCACCCCTTAGGTCTTCTATCTTTATGAGTGCAGCGCTGTGTAGTATGTGAAAACACAGTGAATTACCTGTGATTCAAAGGCAATTATCCTTTATATTCTCCAATGTAATATATATACAAAAGAAAACAGAAATATATACAGATAATTGTGCAGTATATCTATTACTTTAGTGAAGTGTTTAGTGGGTAACATATATATCTCCACTCACATTTTTTAGAGCCTTTTCAAGTGAATTAGGCTCTAAACTTTCGTGCATCTGTGTCTTTAAGGGTAGATCACACGACCCCTCTCTCCAGGTTAAGTGTGTATTTTTTCTCTCCCCAGCGTATATATGAAAGACACAGAATTATCCAACTAAGTGTAGCATCCTCTGCAATATTTTCATATAAATAACAAATTGAAGTGCTCACCTTATTTAGAGCCTTTTGGTAACTGGCTCTAAGTATATAGGCCTAGTGTCAGTTTGTGGGGTGACACTGCCCCTTCCCTGGAATCACTGGTGCTGGATACAGTGGATAGTATAAAATAAGGGAATTTATTACAATATATATAAAAACAGTATAAAAAATATTTTTCTAGAAAATAAAAAATTGGATAAGAACAAATTATTGCAAGTATTGGTGGTTCAGGAAAAATAATGAGTCCACTTTAAAAGCCAAAACGCGTTTCGCCGGTAAAAACGGCTTCCTCAGTCAGCTTGTGAGTGTCCTCTTCATGTTCTGTAATTTAAGCGTCCAAAATCCCGCCTAAAATGTCATCTTCCAATCAGATGGGTCTTTTTGTGTCATGTGACGCGGCTAAAATGCCGCCGCGTCACTTCCGGTTTTCGGCACTACAAGATCCAGAGTGCTTTGCGCTTAGCGCGTCACTTCCGGTTTTCGTCCGGTTCTTTGTGGGAAATATAGTCCGCACTGGGGGTTTTATTCAGTTCATATTAGAGCCCTCTTTGGCTCATATACAGTTATACAATGCAAATAGAAGAAAAAAAGAAACATTTTAATAAAATGTTATTGTATATGTCTTATCATATATTACTATTTCTCCATATGTGTTCTAAATTTTGAAAGGCAATAACTTCAATTATATTTCAACTCTTTTGTCAAAGTGTATGTTTCTTTTTTTCTTTTGTATATATATTACATTGGAGAATATAAAGGATAATTGCCTTTGAATCACAGGTAATTCACTGTGTTTTCACATACTACACAGCGCTGCACTCATAAAGATAGAAGACCTAAGGGGTGGTAACACCCATTAGATCTGAAATCTTTTTCGTCTTTTGGTCTTAACCTTTTCATTGCCCACTTTTTAATCCTTGCAGACCCTCTGTAATCCCCTCTCTACCCATCATCCAGTTCTTAACACAAGTCGCCCTTGTCTCCATATATTACTTGACATCAAAAGACCTTCTTCATCCAGTAAGTCAATACTTAACTCCTTCCAACTCACCTCACTCATCTATCAATACACATGCGTATACGTGGCAATGGCAGCACTCGCATTAGGATTATTATTATTATTCATTCCTTTCCTGATGCTGGAAGTCCTCATACAGAAAGTTAATGAATTAAGTGTAATTTGTAGGATTAATAACAATAAATAGTAGCATTAGTGTTAAAGGATTAGAGTTTGGGCAGGAGCAAGACATTTTAAAGCAACAGCACTGCTGAGGTACTAGTATGACTTGGCTTAACTACCTTCAATGTAAATATATGAAATACATCTTACTATTCTTACTTATTCTCTTCCTTTCAAAGGATGTTTGGAGGGTTTACCAATGCATCAAAGAACCAGGAACAGCTTCTCCAGCTGTCTGAGAGCTTGAAAAAGGATGGGAAACCATTTGATGAAAATACGTACTATTCAGCTGGCTATGATAGTCCATTTAAGCTACTGAACCGACGAAATGAGGTGTGGTTTTTAGCAAAAAGCTAAAAATAGAAGAAATTTCCTAAGAAAATTGACTCACCGAAGGCCTTTTAAAATAACTAATTTACTACCTAAAGACTAATTATGCTCTTTTTAGCGCTAATCATTTATTCTATAGTTGATCAATGCTGTGTCAGATGTCTTGACAAATGTAATTGTTGCTTAAAACAGAATATACATGTAAACTGACCATTACTTTTTTTCAACTCTTGATGGATTAACTGAAAACATCCAATTTATGAAATTCATAGAGTGATCAATATGGGATAGTAAGACTCAAGTGACATCCGTGAAAAAAAATGTTAACTTCACTAACCTTGAGTCCTTATAAGTTGTGTTTTGGTTTTTAATGTTGGTGCTTGTGTGGTGTCTGCAAATTTGCCTCAATGTGTTGTGTTCATGTTGCATTCATTGTTTTTACTCACTACTTTCTTTTTTGTTTCTTAAATTATAAGACTTTATAACTTCTACATATAAAGCCATAATAAGTCAATTGTACCTAAATATATTGATAGAAAGATGCTGCAGTTTATTCATACACCTGTAACAAAATATTTACTTGTAAAATAAGTAACTTCATATTGGTGCTTTGTTACATTGGCACATAATCTGTGCCACATTTACATTTTCTTTTTTTAAGCACAGGTCTTTTTTCTCTGCAAGTCTTACTTTACACAGGTCAGACAAGGATTAAGATCCCACAGGTCTTGTTACCAATGTGCCCCCCTCCATTCTTCACATAGGGATGGTTAATGGGGCCATACAAATCTATGTTTCTGCGACCAATGTCTAACCCCTGGGCCTTACGTGGCTAACCCTGGTCTGACACGGGTGCCTGATTGTAGTTTGTGTCCTATGTTATCTCTGGAGCCTCCTGCGAAATGTGTATCTTGTAGTTCTGCATTGAAATTGTTACTGGCCCAGATTAACAATCAAGTAAAATTTAAGACGATTTAACTTTTATAATGAAAATAAATTATGTAATAGGTCAATTAGTTTTTTTTTATACTTTATGTATTAACTTTATTTATACACATTGTTGCTTTACTCAATTAAATGCTGCTGTAAAACCAAATTCTGTCTAGATTCACAATATATTTTATTTAAATGTTGTATTAAGCATTTCACAAGCTCACAAAATAACATAACAAAAGGTAGAAAGTGAGGAAGCCAAGTAGAAAATTTGTCAAGGAATAGTGGAGGAAAACCAAGGTGGATGTGGGTTGAAAACACAGAGGACTGAAAAGACGATGTGTTGAACTTCAAAAGACGGAATAGAGAAAAAAAGAGAAGGTAGCAAGGGATGGAAGGAACAATGATCACATTGTCTGGGTTAGCTACAAGTCTTCATAGGATAGAGGAACAGGGGAAGCAATGTCATTGAGGCATGGACTCCATTGTCATGATGGTGTATGTGGTCTACACCATCATGGTGTACATTGTACGTGGTATACACCATGGACTCTATTGTCATGATGGTGTAAGTGGTCAACAACAATCTCTACATTCACATTAATGCCAGGACCAAAGGTTTTCAAGCAGAACATTGCCCAGAGCAGAACACTTTGCCAGCCTGCCTTCTTCCCATAGTACATCCTGCTGCCATCTCTTCCCGAGGTAAACAATGCACACGCACTCAGCCATCCACCTGATCTAAAAGAAAATGTGATTCATCAGACCAGGCAACCTTCTTACATTGGTCTATAGTCCTGTTCTGATGCTCACATCCCCATTGAGTGCGCTGTCAACAGTGGACTGGGGACATCATGGGCACTATGACCCAAAATGCAATCTGTGATGCACTGTTCTGACACCTTTCTCTCATGTCCAGCATTACAATTTTCAGCAATTTTAGCTACAGTAGCTCTTCTGTTTTATTGGACCATATGGGCTAATCATAGCCCCTACACACATTCATTAGTCTGTGGCGGTGGCACCGGTTCACCAGTTGTCTTTCTTTGCACCAATTTTGGTTGGTAGTAACAGGGTGCTGTGTATGTCTGAGGGTGCTGTTAGTGTGAGTATGCTGTGTGTGTGAGTGGGCTGTGTGTGTCTGAGGGTGTTGTTAGTGTGAGTGAATATGTTTATTTAAATATGGTTTTTTTATATATATAAAAAAAAAGTTATATCGCCCCTCCCTTCTTACCTTTAGCCTGGGAGGGGGGGAGTGGTGAGAGTAAACTCTGCAGGGCTAGACTTCACTCTCGCGAGATCTGAGCGTTGCCGTGGTAACTGTGGCAACGCTCCGACCTTGCGAGAGGAACCCGGTGGAGCTGCTGGCTAGCGCAGTCCTCTCCTGCCTGCCTCCCCAGCCGGCGGCGGTATATCAGTGCCTGTGGACCGGTGAGGGAGATCTTTGATCTCCACACCTGCTCACAAAGACACACAGCAGGGCCGGCGCTTAAATAGCGCCGGCTCTGCATAAGCCTACAGGGGAGCTCCTGTGATTTGCCCGGTATGCCAGATGGCCAGTCTGGGCCTGATTGTCACTTATTTAAACCTGTAGCTTTAGTGTAAGGGAAGCATACCAATGAATATATTTGCGGCCCACCTGTCCTGGAGCCACTTTGTGTTGTGGCTGCAGCCAGCTGCAAGACAGGAAAGATATAGCCTGTCTGATCCTTGCCTACCCTCCCAAGGCTCATCGCGTACTCCCGCAGACCAGCCATTACCCCTTCCCTTCTGCTCACAGTGCCAAAGGAGTTTCTGGGGGGCAGTGTATTAGAATGGGTGGAGGGGGCAGTGCATTAGATTAGGTCTGCATGGAGGTGCTAAACACTCCCCATCTAGATGCTGATTGGCTGCATAGGCCACAGCATACATTCACCATTTCAGTCCCATTACCAAACTTTTCTTAATATGTCAAGGTAGTTGGACTGAAACATGGATTATATGCAAATGCACGTCTCCTTAAAATAAATTAGCTCTTTTGTTTACTTTGAAGCTGTACGAGCGTGAGGACGTCCAGTGTCATTTAGTCAACTTTTATTTATACTGTACTTTTCTAAATAAACCTAAGTTTCTATAAAAACTGAAGTTTTTGTTTTTTTTGCAGACCACGTAAACTTAAACCTTGTTTATTTGGCCGGTATTGGCCTTTGAGTTTGACATGCTTGGTGTAAGGCATGGCTTTGCTTAGCTCTTTGGCGCCTTCTAGTGGTTTCTAATGTTCCTTTCAGCATAAGCTAACCATTTAAGCAGCACTGTCTTTTTTTGATTTCTCCATAAAATAGTAAATGTATTCATGCTTACTATTGTTTGCTTTTCCTGTTTTTTTTCCTGTGGCAGCAATCCATGTATATAGATCCTCCCCCAGTCATAGCAATATCAATTATTTTGTTCTCAAAAATGACAAGTCAAGGAAGTGAATATGCTGCTATGGCAAATAAACAAGAACATGTTCTGTTTTCTTAGTTAACCCTTGCTGTATTATTGCAGTACCCAAGATATAAAGTGGGAATAGGCGAAGAGAACAATACTGATGCAAACAAATTTTATTATGAACACAAAATAACATTCGATAGGACCCAGGAATAAAAATCAGGAGGGAAGGAGATTGTAATTTAAGGTTGTGACATCTGATTAAAGTTTTAAAAGACTTCCAGGACACAGTTTGCCGTATCTAAGATTTACCCATGCTTCAGAGACTGACCTTGAAGAGTGAGTGAGTTCCAAAGCTTTCAGGATTTCGTAATACTTTGACATACGATTCGGAAAAAATGAAAATAATCAGTAGCCAGTGTGGAAGTAGATGCTGCTTCCCTGCTAGAAGTGAAGACATAACTTCCTCCAAGCTGTAGTTCAGTAAATACAGTTTACTAAACTCAATGTGTAGATTCTTCTTCTGTGACAGACTTAGGGCACAAGAAGGAGAAATAACCTCTTGGCTTAAATGAACAATGAGAAGTACTTTAGCAAGGAACTCTTTGGGCATACAGGGAATAAGTATTTGAAAGTATTATTGGTTCCTGATAGGAGAGGGCTGATATCTCAGAGATTCTCCTTGTTAATTTAATGGCTACCAGGAACATGTCTTCTGCTTCAGAAGATACACAAAAGATTCCTCCAAAGGGGAGATCCCGGAAGTGGCACATTTTTTGAGCAGAGGTCTAATCTTTAGGACACTTTTTAAAATATGAATGATGTCATAATAGAGAGACACTTGTAGTTTCCCAGAGCCGAAATGGCAGACACCTACACCTTCAGAGGTATGTATGCAAGACCCTTTTCCTACGCTGATTGGCAAAATTCCAGTACATCTACTACTGACAACATGGAAAGTAGATCCTTATTTCTACAGTACTACACATCTAAAGCTGTCCAAATGCCATACAGGGAATGAAGGTGGTTTTCTTTCAGGCTTGCATCAGAGTATTGGGCTCAGTTTCAATACTAGAGATACAAAAAAAAAAAAAGTCTGGTGCTCAAACTCCCATTAGTAGAGTTGAGCGGACACCTGGATGTTCGGGTCCAGGGGGGTTCGGCCGAACTTTGAAAAAAAGTCAGGGTTCGAGATCGAACTTGACCCCGAACCTGAACCCCATTGAAGTCAATGGGGACCCGAACTTTTGGGCACAAAAATGGCTCTAAAAAAGTCCTGGAAAGGGCTAGCGGGCTGCAAAAGGAAGTAAAATGGGGGTAAGAGTAGGACAAGTGCCCTGAAAACAAATGTGGATAGGGAAATCACTTAAAATAACATAAAATAAGCAGCCATTTAGTAGATAACTCCCTAATTCCCACGGTTTTAGGGAGCTATCTACTAAAAGGCTGAAAGACCTAAACTGGTCTTTCAGCCACATTTACTAATACGAAGTAAAGATCACTTAGTATTAGTAAATTCAGCCCCTACTCGCTATACCGCGAGTAGGGGCGTGTCTAGTAAACAGGGAGCAGCCAGTGGCCTGGGGTGGGGGGGGGTTTAAATTTTTATTTAGGGCCACCACCCACCACTCAGGGGTGGGGACCGGGGGGATGCAATAGGTCCCTCCCCCTTATTGATATTTAGGGCCCCCACCCGTCGCTCAGGGCTGGGGGCCGGGGGGGGAGGACAATAGGTCCCCCCCCTTATTTATATTTAGGGCCCCCACCTGCTGCTCAGGGGTGGGAGCCGGGGGGGGGGCAATAGGTCCCCCCTTTAGGTTAAAAGCACCCACTCACGCGTTGCGGGTGGGGGCTCAGGAGGGGGGAATGTTTTTTGGGGTTTTTTTTAACAGTAAGCAGCCACAGGCTGCTCCTGTTTAATAGACATGCCCCTACTCGCGGTATAGCGAGTAGGGGCATAATTAACTAATTCTAAGTAACCAGCTTATATAGAGGCTGGGTCACATGCTGCACTGGCCAATCACAGCCATGCCATTAGTAGGCATGGCTGTGATGGCTTCTAAGGACACACGAGTCAAACGCTTGTTGATTGGCTGCCCTGCAGCTTTTCGAAATGCGTCATTAAATCGCTGAACACCGAACTCGAACCCCAACATACACTGAAATGTCTGTGTTCGGGTCCGGGGTCCAAAAATCGAATGTTCGGTACAAACCCGAACTTTATAGTTCGGGTTCGCTCAACTCTACCCATTACTAATGGGCGGCCGCAACGACCATAGTACACATCAGCCCAAATACATACAGTAAAAACCAAAGAAAAAAAGTTACCTGTGCTCTTTCCCAAATCCCTATGTATATTTAAACAAATGGAGGTTTTTAGTTACCTCCAATGGCAGGGCCAGATTAAGAGCCCAGTGGGCCTGGTGCTGACAATTATGATGGGCCTAATTACAGAATCATATCGATCAAAAACAGTAAAACACTCCCAAGCGTCATGTATCTGATGGAGATGGTGCAGGAGAGAAATAAAACAGCAGCTATAAGAAAACATATACCCTAGGCTAATCTCTCACTAATTTATGTTTTCATCTTTCAAGTAAATCCATAACTCCTAACAGCAGTGTCCAGTCAAGCAGGAAGTCAATGGGCATGGTAAAAGGGTGTGCCACTGACACAAATCATGTAACCTGCCAAAAGGGACGAACATGCTCAAAAAGAGGACATGTCTGCCCAAAGAATTAGGCCAGCCTGGCATGAATGCATGTCAGGCTGCCTGCCAATCATGCAGCTGGCCAACTAAGGGCATACTATGCAGACAGCACCCTGAGCTTGGCATAAATGCATCTAATGATGCGCTTGCTCAACACTTTCTAAGGACTGTCCTCTAGCACTCGCTGGACACTTGTCTCCTTACCTTCTTACTAGCAGGCAGAAGCTCCTGGTATATAATCTGGGACAGAGAAAAGCTGTATGTAGTGAGTGTAGAAGAAAGGGAATATGCCACAGTGTTAGAGAGACCAAAGTCAGCATTACCTTAAAGGATCACTATAGGGTCAGGAACACAAACATGAATTCATGACCCTATAGTGTTAACACCACCATCTAGCCCCACTGGGCTCCTCATGCCTCCATAAATATAGCAAAATCTTACTTTATTCAAGACTGAAGCTGTAACTCTGCATGCTGTTAGACTCAGAAAAATAAGCAGTCTGCTGATATCATTAGAAGTGGTGGCCTAATCCAATCACAGTGCTTCCCCATAGGATTGACTGAGACTGACAAAGAGGCAGATCAGGGGCAGAGCCAGCATGATTCAAACACAGCCCTGGCCAATCAGCATCTCCTCATAGAGATGAATTGAATCAATGAATCTCTATGAGGAAAGTTCAGTGTCTGCAAGCAGAGGGAGGAGACACTGAATTTTTGGATGCAATTTAGGCAGCCATGACGCAGGAAGGATCTACATCTAAGGAGTGGCCAGTGAAGTTATCACTGGGCTGTAATGTAAAGACTGCATTTTCTCTGAAAAGACCGTGTTTACAGCAAAAAGCCTCACGGTAATGATTCTACTCACCAGAACAAATTCAATAAGCTGTAGTTGTTCTGGTGACTCTAGTGTCCCTTTAACTATATTCATTGTCAGCCAGTCCACACAAGTTTTGTTCCCATACATCCCTCTTAAGTTTCCATACTTAAGTAAGAGTATGTGAAAAGTAGTTAGGGTTGCCCCCTTTCTTGGAAAAACATACCGGCCTTGCTAATTTGCATAATTAAATACGTATGGGTGACATCACATGATGTAAATCACAAGGAGTGACATAAGAGAAAATGCTGTAAAATCACCAAAAAACTACTTAGTTTGATTCTGCTGTATAGATGGATTCCTCCCAGTGGCCCCATATCTCCCAGTGCCCCCATGTGTCGATTACTCCAGGTCTCAGTGTTCCTATGTATCAGTGTCTCAGTGCCCCATGTCTCCCAGTGTCCCCTAGTGTCGTGTCCCCAGGTCTCCCAGTGATCCTATGTATCACAGTGTCTCAATGCCCCAAGTCTCCCTGTGTCCACATGTATCCCAGGGTCCCCATGTCACTAGGAAGACGGTAAGACCTGGGGACACGGGGAGACCTAGGGACACAGAGACACTGGGAGACTAGGGGACTCTGGCTGGGACGCATGGAGACACTGGGAAAATAGGGGACACTTGAAGACATGGGGAAACAGACACTAGAGACACTGGCTGGGGGACATGGGGGCATTGAGACATGGGGCACTGGGAGACATGGGGACAAGGAGACACCAAGGCCACAGACACTAGGGACACTAGCTTGGAGACATGGGGACATTGAGACACTTGAGGCACTGGGAGACATGGAGGCACTAGGTGACATGGGGACAGTGAGACACTGGCAGACTGGGGGCACTGGGAGACTAGGGGGCACTGAGACACCAGGGACACTGGCTGGGAGACATGGGGACACTGGGAGATATGGGAACACTGTGTCCCCATGTGTCTGTGTCATAATGTCTCCCAGTGTCCCTTAGTGTCTCAATGTATGTCTCCTTGCAGCCTTTCCCCCCATCCCTTACTTCCCTGAGCTGTAGGCTGTCTCTGCAGGGTGGGAGTTGCTGTCTGGACTCTCTGTAG